ATCAATTAACACTTTATTAAATACTATTATCATGATCCTAATCATGATGAATTGACAATACCACATGATTTTCGAAATTTTTTTGGGTGGCGATTTTACTCCGGTCTATGTAGTGTCTAAACCGAATTGCAAAGTCGTATACAGTAATGCTTGACATCAGATGGTTGGATAAGGATGGAGTTTTTTTTATATAGATCAAACAACTATATATTATATAACCGGATAGAATCGGGATTAAAAACCGGGTAACTAAAATTGCAATATATTTAATTACTTACCATAGTAGTATCTTCCATTAGCTCCCATTCAACATTTCCGAGTCCTATAAAATAATCAATATAATATGGCTTTTTTGCCTTAATTGAATTTTCTGATGTCGGAGAATCAAAAAATATAGAACATAGGATGTATCCGTTGATGCAGATATGAATACTGTGCTTTTGATATCTAAAGTTTTATCTGTAGGTGGCCGTAAGTTGTATACTTTGTACAGTGGCCGCGGTGGAGTAGTATATTTAGTCCTTTTGATCTCTTTCTTATCATCAAAGACATCAAATACATTGAATCTTTATTTCTTGCTAAAAAAAAAGAAAAAAAAAACACACCTTTTTTTAATATAGAATTGAAAGTTCCATTATTATAACTCCAACTTTAACTACAGAATTACCAGTAATTGTCATTGACGGATTGTAAAAATACACAGAGCCATCATTAGCTGATTTACGCATTTCCCATTTTCTTGCCAACTTATAATCATTTCGAGGTTCCTTGTAAAGAAAATTAATAAAATTAATAAATTGATATTCATAATATACTTTAATTTTTCACACCCCATCAGGTCAGCAAGAAGCCTTGAACATCAGGCAACCAAGCAGGCCACCTGTGCCCCAATGGGACCAGTGTCGAGTCAGCAAAAAGCCTTGAACGTCAAACAGCCAAGAAGGTCACTTGGGTTTTGTGGCTCAGCAAGCAGCCTTGAATGATAAGAACCGAGAAGGCTCCTATCACGCCACTTAGTTTCTTCTATCTCTAGTCGAAAAATTTTACTTGCCTCTTTATACATTTTGAGAAGTATACGCGCTTTTTCAGGCCTTTTTCCATGTTCTTCTGAGGCAATAATGCTATTAAGAAACTTAATATAAACGTCTATTTTCCTATCAAAGGGTTCAATCTAAAAAGCTTAGAATTCCCCATTCTGCTGATTTACGACTGAAATATTCATGGATTTCATTTTGCATAGTAATAGTATTAGTATCTTATCAGTTATAAAAAGAAAAATTTTTGTCTCTGAATCTGTATTTAATAACAATTTATTTATATAGTTCTGAGAAAATTTTTGGTTTTATTGACATTTAATTTCGGTAATTTCTTCGAGTTATCTTTTGGGGGATGTTAAATTAAAGTACATACGTATATACGTTAGAATTACTTTTTTGATGCAGTTAAAGTTACTTTCTTGATTCATTTAGGGTTATTTGCTTATATAATATCAAGAATATAATTTATGCAGTATGTTAATCAATATATTAAACGCACAACAAATAATAACTAGAGATGCGAACCGTTTGCCGATCCTAATAGTTTTCGGCCCATCTCTAATAATAACTCATACAGACAGGATCCCCAAAATTCTGTGTCGGAATACGTCGAAATATGGAAATATGGTCGGCCATGAAATCCTTTCAAAATTGGAGGCCTTTTAAAACTTTAAGCCAATATTTCTCGATGAATACTTAACTAATTTCAGTAAATTTTTTTTTAATTTAATTCTATAAGTTAATTGAATTAAAATAAAAATTTATTTATCGAATTTGCTTGAAAAAAGGTCAAAAATCTTTGAAAATCGTAGTAAAATTTTTTTTTCAACTTTAAGCAACGATTACCTAACCAAAGTTGATGATAATTTTTTTATTTTATACGTAGTGCCTTTCAATTTACTGTAATTATAAATTTCATATACCACACATCATTAAAGTCAAAATCGAAAATTTAAGTAACTAATTTTTGGTTATTTTTAGTTGTAGTGTTAGAAAAATCAAAATCAAAAGGAAATTTAGGAGATTTTTATTTTTATTCGCAAAAAAAATCGTAAATTTCGACCATTTTCGTGTGATGTCCAACATGCTACGTATTATGTACATATTGTTCTTTGCTTATTGTTGGAAATATTGAGGTTTTTAAATTTCCTGTACTGTACGTACGTACATGCTTAAGGTAAGATCAAAAGCTAAAGCTACGGTATAAACATCGATATATAATTGTAAATCATAGCTTCAAGTAGTGCGATGGGTGGCACATCTGCGCCACCCATCTTATTCGCGTTTTTTAAAGCTGTATTAGTAACTATCAAAAGTTCTATTACAGAACTTATACTTATTGCAATACACACAGAATGTAGTTAATTTGAATAAGTTGCATCGGAATTATCGTGATTTTATAATGTTCTTTCACTTGTGTGTAAATAGTGATGGGCATTTTATAACATTTGCATGAGTGCGTATTAATGCGCACGTTATATAAAATGCACATAATTTTATATGGATACAACCTCTAACCTCCTAGGACCAGGCCGGCCCTGTCATTTTTGGGACGGTCTGAAAAGACCGTCGGTCCTAACTTTAGTTATTATTACTGCTACTTTCATAATTCCTGGAACACCTGATAAAAATTATTGACCGAATGATTTTTCGGCCGATCTGGTTAAGTTGATCCATATAATAATAAAAATAATACGTAAAAGCTATTTTGGTATAAAAATGATAATTTTACAATCGTTATAACAATAATGTCAACTTTTTTAAATTTTTATTCAAATGCTTGTCCAACATGTTTGGTATGCTTAGTTTGTACAAAAATTTATGGAAAAGATGCTCTTGTCAACCAATAAACCTTAATAAAAAAACGTAAAAAAGGATCCGAATATAAATTAGACTTTTATAACAAAT